TTTCGGTAGAGGAATATAACCCTATGGGAATAAAATTTTTTCCCATACATCGATTTCCTCAACAACTTTTTTATTTCTTTCCACTAAAGTTATGAACTGATCTTTATAAAATCTATGAATTTGATAGATATTCCTTACTCGCTCCTTGCAATATTAAACTCGAACTTTGTTGTTTAAATGTAATATCTTTGCCCCCTAAATTTAAAAAATGAAGTAGTTTATGAGCATTGCAGTGTGAAATATGCGACACGAATCTTTCTTTTAAATTTATTTTTATATCCTTATAATCCTTATCTAAAACAAATTCTACCGAGTTAGATCCAGTTAACGAAACTATATTCTTGTTTATCCAATCGAAATGCATCTCTTCTTTATTTTCATCACCTGTAGTTAATGGAATCACATATGTTTCATCGCTTATTTTTTCTCTTTTAATTTTATGTGTAATAATAATATAATCGTTATTGTGATTTGATATGTTAAACTAATTTCTAGGAATAATAATCGTTCAGATCGACTACCCATTTCCCTTGTAAATCAATAGGTGAACTCATTTTCACAGTGAAATGAGACTGCTTATTTTCGGGAAATAAATCCATGCTGGCATGCTTATCAGACTCATAAAAAAGTCTGACTGCATCATTTTGTTACCTTCTGTAACTCTTCTGTAGAAAATCTTCCTGCAAAAATGTCGTTATTTAAATCTGTCAATATATACATCAGAGAATAAGACGAAAAACGATCGTGAATAATAAATATTCTTCTGTCCAACCAGGTAGGTATCCTTGACTAAATGTTTTACGTATTTCCGAAATTCGAACGAGGTCGCCAATATTAAATTTAAACGTATTCTGTCCTTTTATACTGTACAACTTTTCGAAAATACCGCTGCGATATAGGGTAGTATTTTCAGAAGGGGCATACTGTACTTCTATGAAAACTATTATTATAACTTTTCACAATTTCAGATAATTTATCGATATATTTATAAGAATTACGATAAATAAATAATCTATATATTTTATTTCGCAAAGTTTTATTTAATCTTTCAACGACAGCGGCTTTTGTATCGGAATGAGTCAAATAATGATTAATTTTAAATTTTTTAAAAATATTTTTTACTGATCTATTATAAAATTCTTTTCCTTTATCAGTTCGTAAATTTTTCGGAATATTTTTTTTTAAAAAATGGTTTGAAAAGCTTTCAAAACCGACTGGATTTTTTTATCATTTATCGGTACGACATAACAACACTTAGTAAATATATTGATTACAGTTAGTAAATACGTTATTCCATTATTAAATCTAGAAAATTGTTTTAATATAACTAAATCAGCCTGCCACAAGTCGTTAAGATAAAAACTTATAGTTTTTCGTCGCGAATATTTAATTCTTACAGGTTTATGAAGCGTATTAGTTACTTGTGAAGACAACCACTTTTTAACAACAGATTGCAGTAAATTCGATTCTTTTAACTAATTTACTAACACCACCAAAAGATGCTGAGATTTAGGGTTATAGTATATCCATTTCAAAAGTTTTTCCATTCGAGATTTTTCTTCCTTTTCCTTTCAGTTTTTTTTCACTGATGGGGAGAAAATTTCTTTGGAATTTTCGATTGATGTTCGTTGATAGTATATTTTTTCCGGTGATGTTCCCAAACTTTTGTTTCCAATTTACTCTTTAAAAATATTTATTTTCTTTAAGCCATCCAAAAAGTCTTTAAACCAACGGGGGGTAATGCAGTTTTTCTCTTTCTCATTACATACGAAACAAGTCTACTATATGACTCCCAATAACAGGTTTTTCATCGATTGTTAATTAATTGATTTTTAGAATTCCATCCATAATGACTTCGATCCAACTTAGCGATTAAATGAGGTATATATTTTTGATATAATTGAGATACTGATAAAATTATTTGTTTAATAAATCCATCATTATCATCATCAGTTTTTTCTTTTGGTTGAGATTCTGTTTCTTCATTTTTGTTAGATACGACCAATACTCTGACAGGTTCTTTAGAAGTGTGAACGGTTATCTCATATCTCGAAATCAATTGACTTAATAACTTGATTTTACGTTGTCAAGTAAATTTGTACTCTCGAGTAATTCTTCGATATTAGAACCAATTCTTATTTCAGGCTTTTGATAACTTATCAGTAATTCGGGAGAAACTAAGGCCATCTGCTTTGCCATTAGATTCTTTGTCTTATTACTTTACCGATTAACCCTCCTCCCATAGACAATAACAGGGCCAGTAGAAGAGGAAGGAATCCACCAAATCGATTAACTGAAATTTTTCTCTTGGTATTTAAAGGAACTTGTTTTTTGCTTAATTTCCTGATAACTTTTTATATTTTCGTAAATTAAGAACATCAGCAGGTATATTTCCTCTCTGCAAATTATCACATATTCCGCACAAAACTTTAACCTGATATGGAGGAGCTTCTTTCTATATCGCTCTTCGTTGGGAAGGAGTAGTCTTCTCTAAAAGCGCTAGCATATGATAATTTTTCTTTACGTTTTTCATTTTATCGGTATGTAAATCCAAAAAATCCCCTCGTTTGTCAGGAAAACAAGAATTTTTCACAAAAAATTTGTTATCTGCTTTAGGATTATAATCTAATAACAAATAACCCAATTCCTTTTCTGTCGCTTTTTATATGCATCCATGAAAAAATTAAATTTTCCCAGAAAAGCTTGACGACCTAAACAATTCACCTGACTCTCATAACGATTACTTTTAAATAAAATCAAATAATGTGTATGTAATCTTATATCTCTCATAATCTTATTTTTCGGAAACAAATTTTGCATTATTAAAATCACACTTACATTGCAGTGATGAGATTCTGTCGTAAACAGAAATGCTGTTTTTGGAGACAGTTTGTGCATCAGATCATCGATTATTATCAAATCCTATCCTAGAACAGATTCGGGTAAGCCGTACATAAATGTGATATCATTTTCTTCTTAAAAAAACGGTAAATACACGGAGTAACATTATAAAATCTTCTTCAGAGGAATTTCATAAATTATGTTGTGAATCATTTTTTTCACCAATGTGGTTTTTCCAGATTGGGAAGGACCGGCAATTACACAAGTTCTGGGATGTTTGAAATACATATTAATCAACCATGTCAACCTTAGAATTTTTATAATATTTAATTCCTGCACTTATCTCCATAAACATTACTAAAGTTTTCTTATCATTTTTTAAACATATTTCTCTCATGTCTTCTGCACACCGTTCGAATGAACCGTATAATCCATTACATACTTCGTTAATTCCTCCATCCGTGCCAACAATTATAAAACCGTATTTTCCTTCTCCTTTCCAAATATCTTTAATTTTGAAATAGAGGAGGATAAATGGAAAATTATCAGGAACATTGAACAAAAAATTTTTTGCCACAGAAATGCAAGCGTCCAAAGTTCTGTATAGAATTAGGAAACTGAGTAATTTTTATAGTCCCCATAGGTAATTACAACACCGTATATCCTCATGATCGCATCTTATTAAATATAAAACTAATACTCTTTAAAAAAAGTAACTTATATAAAATACTAAGCAATCATATCTTCTTTAAAAACTATCGAGCAATCATATTTTCTTTAAAAACTAACAGTTAACCATATTTTCTATAAAAATTAGCAACCAATCGTTCTTTTAAACTCTAATCGTATATTATCTACAGATAAAAAAAAAACTCATATTGCTAATAGAGCCCACATGCTTTCTATCCATTACAATGAACAGTAGCTTACAAGATGAACAAAGAACATAAAGCAGGGTCAACACGACTCAGTTCACTGTATGAACTGTACAGCAGAGAGCGCAATTTTTCAATTGTGTTATCGTTTTAATTCGATTTGTATTATTACTTTATTTTTAAAAATTAAGACGTAGTTGCTTCCAAAAATTCTTGGGTGATTATCATATTTTTTTAAATGCTCCTTAGTGAAAACTTCAGACAACCTGACCTTCCTTTTTAGGCTACGTGGCAATCATGGAAAAAGTTCCTTAAAACATAAAAACAACCAATTAAAAAGCAATGTCTTAATTTTTAAAGAAAATTTTATCATCCAGCAAAAATTTGTAACTTATTACTTTATTAAATTCTTATACAAATTAAATGTAATCTATACTGTATCGGTCTTTATTTCGATATAATTCAATTTCATCATTNTATTGTTCAGTCTGCTATCACATGACTACGTTTTGCGATTACTTTTATTGTATTAATTAAAAGAAACCGAATGTTTTAAAAATAGAATATTAATAAAATAATGTTTGTTTTACTTTCTCGGCTTTTATGGATACGGAAGAAGGGAAGTCTTGTCAAATTTGACCCTCTGAAATTTTTGCAAATATCGATATGAGACCTTTTCTATACCAATGTATAAAGAATGTTTTTGTTTTTCTGTTCTTAGCTCTTTGCGCGATCTGTACTAGATTTGTCATATTTATTCTGCACCATTCTTCTCCTAGTTTAATTTTTTCAAATATTCACGATGAACCTTGATGATGAAACACGATGAAACAACCATACTTATATTATAGGTTTTACTTTAAATCGAATAAATGATTAATTTTTAAGAATTTCCCAAAGTTAATTTAATGATATAAAACTTTTTGAAATTTATATAAGAAATGTAATTATCTTTATATAATATATTAATGCTACAGAAATTTAAAGTATTTTCGTTATAATTATTTACGGTCAATGTTACTTCTTAAAATGGTTTCATAATGGATTCAGCTTCGTAATGCATACCTTATGTATGGTGTTACTGTCAATAGTCTCAAAACAATATCACAAGATCACAAAGAAATTTAAATGCCGATGTAAAATATATTAAACTATTATAAATAGTTAAAATATTTGAGAAATTGCGCAAATAATCTTCTAAACTTTATATTGTAAAATCCAAAGTATTATTCTGTTTCTGTACCCTAATTTCAACGCGAAATAAATTAAATTATTTTGTGTTCATATTGTTTTAATATTTATTTATTCAGTTACAAATTGTAATGTGAGAAGTTATCAATTTTCTCGTTTCGTCTCTCAAATATTACGAGAGTGTTGATATCTTTCCATATTCATTTATCTCAATATTTTGTGAGATATTTACATATTCCGTTTCGAAATGTAATAGCATCCACTATTTGTTCGTCATCTGGAATATCGTAGCAAAAGCAACCTCCGTAACAGCAGACGCCTGTTTTTGCTCCATGTTCCTTGCATTTCAAATCACAGAAATCTGTTCCTTGTTCGAGAAATCTTTTTTCCTCCAAAGAACATTCCATGGGTTCTCCGTCCACTAAGATGTATCCATGTCTCCGAGCTGCAACAACTAAACAAATCAGATTAATTAATTACACAATTGTCAAATATCACTCAATTTTAAATAAAAAATAACGAGAAACGCGAGTTAAATTCTTAAAATAAGTTTGCAAATCAAAAAACAATTGCGATTAACAAAGTGATACCTTAATATATTTTATACACGAAAATCATTTAGTTGTCCAGAATGTATGAATTAAAATAACTTAATTTTTCTCAGTTTACTGAGAAAAAGTGCTTACAGTAGTGATACATATTATCAAATATAATGTTGTTATAATTAAGTATTATTATTTTATAATTAATAGAAATTTGTCTGTCAAACATGACAGATGAGAAAGAAAAGATTGAAGAATTGAAGGAAGTTGGTATTTTAAAAAATTCTAGGAAATTCACTAATGTTCCTACAAAGTAAGTAGCTTATTTTATTTTTCTGAAAATATATTATTCGCATCAATTATTTTAAATAACATAATTCTTGAGATTGGATTTGTTAATCGGCTCAGTGACATAATTCACATCACGGAGCCGAAATCCATAAAATCTTTCTTTATGGTTGATATTTCTGCACAGGGCCCATTAGTGGCCGAGTGGACTATGTCTCCACTCTTAATGGCGATGACCAGACCTTCAATGCGGTGACCAAAGCTGGCCAAAGGGCACTCAATTATTGGTGTTTGCTACACTCGGGTTTTCTTTGAGACTTTTATCTAACCCATCTAAAAGAAGGTTTTTCAACTAGTAAACATTCTTATGCCCTTCTAATCCGACTGTTCAATCTGACTGTCGGATTAGAAGAACAGTTATTGAAGAATTAGGATAGTGATTGTCACTTAAACTACACGCTAATATTAAGACACCGACTCTCTGAGAAATCAACACGTAGATTAAAACAAGTTGTGCCAAATAGTAAAAATACTGCGAGAAAACAAATTTAAACTTATGTTTAACACGAATCGAAAGAATTTTGTAACATAAAATAGGAACGTTTTCTATTATACTGAACATGCATAATTGTCCTCTGAAGATAAAAACAACAAGTACACACACAGAGAAAAATAAAGAAACGATTTGCATAATATTTATAAATCATTAAGAATTATATTAGAATTCACTGCATGCAAATTAATTTGTCTTACCTATTCCCACCAAACAGAAAAGCAGAACGACGATTTTCATGGTTATAATCGATTGTTCTTCGAGAAATTCTCTTATTATCGAACTCTGTCGATTTCTTCTTCTTTTATACAATTTGCTATGGGACAGCGTTGTTCTCATTGGTTATATTTTGCGCGCATTAATCATATAAATAATGTTTCGTATCCAATGAAAAACATGAATATTAAATAACATAAGAGAATTTCGAAATCTTTTATAATTTATCAAATGACGTCAAAATCAAATGGCATGGAAGACTTTCACGTGACTTCGTTAATAATTCGCATTGAGTTTTTATTCAACGCTTACTTTATTAACATTTTCCATCGTTACAAAATCTTCTGTATGTCTGTGTGTATGTGTTAAAATAAGTTAAAATTTATATTCCACACTTAACATTAATTAATTAAATAAAGAAAGGAGACACACACAGTCACAGGGATGTATGACATTGGGAATTTATAGGTCTACAATTTTTTCAAATTGTAGCTCAATAACAAGTACACTTGAACGTAAGAGTATTTAACTTTATTAGTAGATTGTTAAATATGTGAAATATTTTTACCTTTTAAACAAATGTACCAATCCTCATCTGAGCATTATTAATTATTGTTGAAAATTATTTAAATACTTTGTGTATATTTCTTTTGTGGATTTTGTCTATGTTACTGCTTCTTAAGCTTTACTTCTGCCAACGATTCTTTAGTTGTTAATTGTTTAGATTTACATCAAATGTCGAATGCAGATGATTGCTTGTAAAATGGGTGCCATCTAACACCTAATTAGGAGCAGTTTTCCTTCCATAAGAGATTTCTCGAAATGCATTTATTCTCTCAAGATCCTCCACGTGTCAGGGTTGCGTACAAAATAAAAATGACCAAATGTTCTTTATACATTTTAAGTAGTAAGTGACTCAATGGGTCATCTAAAGAAACGAATTGAATGATGAAGTTTATATGTCGAGTATATTTTATTCTTTGCTCCTCGTAAACAGTTTAACATAAACATTTTAATTTATCGTGCTTTTATAAATGATAAAAATCAAGTTAGAAAGACAGGAAAATTAAAAGTCAACCTTTCTCTTTCCATGCACTCAATACACGTGTAAAAAGTTTAATAACAGTTTCACGTATTGTCTAATTAAATACGTAACAGTTATAATTTAGTGACGAAAAGATGAATAAAATAGCTTCATATAAGACAAATTCATTTTAATTTGAATGAAAAATAAATCGAGACGATTAACTTATACATTCGTAAATGACTTTATAAAAATTTTAATTCCGTCAGATGTTTAAAGTTAAGAAGAAAAATCACTTACAAACAATTAATTTAAAAATAGGTCAATTTTCACGAGTAATAGTCATTGTAATAAATTATTTCTTGGAACATTTTAAGGTCTTTATCTGTAAACAAGCAAATAGACCAGGCGTTGCTCGGGCACAAGGTAACGATAGCGAAGATGAAGATTATTTCGTTATAGTCAATCTTACCCGTTTTCACAGAATGAAAGAATTAAGTCCCACTGTTTCCAGACTAATTAGAGAATTTTTAGATGGATTAAAAAATTTTCGATTTCGTGCAAAATGCGAAAAACTGCATCTGAGCCTGTAAATCTTGCACGTCGCTTTCTCTTAACACTTCCAATTGTTAATACTTCGATTGTTAACACTTTCATTGTTAACACTTCCATTGTTACACATTTTAGGAGTTAACCACTTTCAACCCCATATCTCCCACACCCTTATAGCTATCGAGATGCAACCACGATAGTGCACGATAAGAGACTTGGGGCTACTACCACACACAAACAACAACACACAAACACCATTCATGTGTGATGCGTAGTTTCGGCTGCAGAGTATAGGCACACGCACGTCCACATATATATANTCACATCACGGAGCCGAAATCCATAAAATCTTTCTTTATGGTTGATATTTCTGCACAGGGCCCATTAGTGGCCGAGTGGACTATGTCTCCACTCTTAATGGCGATGACCAGACCTTCAATGCGGTGACCAAAGCTGGCCAAAGGGCACTCAATTATTGGTGTTTGCTACACTCGGGTTTTCTTTGAGACTTTTATCTAACCCATCTAAAAGAAGGTTTTTCAACTAGTAAACATTCTTATGCCCTTCTAATCCGACTGTTCAATCTGACTGTCGGATTAGAAGAACAGTTATTGAAGAATTAGGATAGTGATTGTCACTTAAACTACACGCTAATATTAAGACACCGACTCTCTGAGAAATCAACACGTAGATTAAAACAAGTTGTGCCAAATAGTAAAAATACTGCGAGAAAACAAATTTAAACTTATGTTTAACACGAATCGAAAGAATTTTGTAACATAAAATAGGAACGTTTTCTATTATACTGAACATGCATAATTGTCCTCTGAAGATAAAAACAACAAGTACACACACAGAGAAAAATAAAGAAACGATTTGCATAATATTTATAAATCATTAAGAATTATATTAGAATTCACTGCATGCAAATTAATTTGTCTTACCTATTCCCACCAAACAGAAAAGCAGAACGACGATTTTCATGGTTATAATCGATTGTTCTTCGAGAAATTCTCTTATTATCGAACTCTGTCGATTTCTTCTTCTTTTATACAATTTGCTATGGGACAGCGTTGTTCTCATTGGTTATATTTTGCGCGCATTAATCATATAAATAATGTTTCGTATCCAATGAAAAACATGAATATTAAATAACATAAGAGAATTTCGAAATCTTTTATAATTTATCAAATGACGTCAAAATCAAATGGCATGGAAGACTTTCACGTGACTTCGTTAATAATTCGCATTGAGTTTTTATTCAACGCTTACTTTATTAACATTTTCCATCGTTACAAAATCTTCTGTATGTCTGTGTGTATGTGTTAAAATAAGTTAAAATTTATATTCCACACTTAACATTAATTAATTAAATAAAGAAAGGAGACACACACAGTCACAGGGATGTATGACATTGGGAATTTATAGGTCTACAATTTTTTCAAATTGTAGCTCAATAACAAGTACACTTGAACGTAAGAGTATTTAACTTTATTAGTAGATTGTTAAATATGTGAAATATTTTTACCTTTTAAACAAATGTACCAATCCTCATCTGAGCATTATTAATTATTGTTGAAAATTATTTAAATACTTTGTGTATATTTCTTTTGTGGATTTTGTCTATGTTACTGCTTCTTAAGCTTTACTTCTGCCAACGATTCTTTAGTTGTTAATTGTTTAGATTTACATCAAATGTCGAATGCAGATGATTGCTTGTAAAATGGGTGCCATCTAACACCTAATTATGAACAATCCCCCATTTCTCACCTCAGGGAAAGTCATAAAACAGTTGGGTGCTAATGACTTTGTGAAAGGGAAAAAGTTCTAAACTTAGAAACTTCGAAAGAAGGGATTTGGCCTGTACCGTCCGCGGGCCGCATAAACATTGATAGGGGGCCGTATGTGGCCCGCGGGCCGCAGGTTGTGCACCCCTGAATAAACCTTATATAAAAACATCTATCTTTAATTTTTCAATTTCTTATTCTTTTCCCATTGTTTTCATTCTCTGTTTTATGAAAATTTCAGCTGTGTGAATATTTAAAATTTCATTAATTAATTTAATGGACATTTTTTCAATCCAGACCCTTTAAATAGGACATCTATTATTTTTACCTCTAAATAGTGGACATTCTAAATAACGAATCCGTCGTCCATAACCTACCTTATGAAAACACAAAGTCCCACCTTTAATATTCTGAAAGAATACTTATGTACAAAATGTTTTAAAACTAAAACAACGAATAGGTTCAAATACAAATACTCTTTCAGAGAATGAATTTTTACCACAGGCATCGAATAAAGACTGGCTTAAAATAGGAATAGAGGAGAATGGCAGGTTGTAAAAAACCAAACAATATTCTTTATCTGTTAGAGAAGACTGATCTGATTAAGTTGTCAATTACCAACTATCATCATACATATTAATGTTATTATTCTTCTGTCTTATTGTTGGAATTAAGTTTACAGTACCGAGAAACCATAAACTTTTCTGAAGTTATTCATTCATTTAACAAGAACCATAGTACAGTAGTAATGAAAAATAAACACATGAATTGCTTTTGGTCCTTATGTTACAATATATGATTATAAACACTAATTTTTGACTCTATGGAGGACGTATCACACACTATTGACATAGTTGGAATAATCACACAGAGGTCGATAGATACAGGTTTATTAAGATGACGGTATGCATTTCAGACAGATTTGTCTGTCCCTCTTCAGCCGTATTTTTTACAATTTGGTGGATATACAGGTTACTACAAAAATACAAGCAGTGTTTTACAAACATTTGGGTTTTTGGATTAAAACAGTACAAAATTACATACATTATTTATACATACACAGTGGTGATATTCAGCGGGTTCGCACAGGTTCGGCCGAACCCGTTGTTAACATTTTCAAAGTTTTCCGAACCTTGTTAAACATATGTAACATTTCTCAATGGTTTGATTCTTTTAAAAATATTAAAATATACGTATTATACTCTATAACACTACTAAACTAGAGCCTTCCGATGCACTATTTGAGCGAAAAAAAAAAATTGTTAAGGAAAAATTTTCTGTTAGCGAACCCTTTGTTAAATATTTTGAATGTCATCACTGTACATACATACATAAAAGGAACATACTATTTTTTTGCTGCTGCATGGATGACGTCCTTTTTGGGATTTTTCACAGATTATATATTATGATTATAATACAAATAGCAATCAGTGGTTATAATTGTTGCTAAAGAAACATATTGTGAAGTAAATGTCTACCTGTGTCTACTGACCTCTGATCTGTTGTGATTACTCTGACTATGTCAATAGTGTGTGATAAGTCCTTCATACACTCAAAAATTAGTACTCAAAGTCATATATTAAAAAATAAACAGTTTTAAGGTAAAGACAACAGCAATTATTTGGTGAAATTAAGTTTAAAGGTCATGTTACAAAGGTGACTTGCTGACCACTTTAGTGTAGGAAAATATTCGGTTTTCTCGCATTTATGATGTCATTTATGATAACAGCTTTGTGGTGGCTAAAGTAATTTTTAAATCATTTATTGAAAAAAGCAAAAATGCTCAAAAAATTACACCTACTCAATAATCACAAAACAGATAAAGCCTTATATTGATTTTTATTAGTCACTTAGATCATAAATGACGTAATAAATGCAGGAATACCAAATACATTTCTTACTCCTTGAAGTAACTAGCAAATTGCCTTCATAACTTGACATTCAAACTCTTGTCACCTAAACTGACCTTTGTCCACCCTTCTGTTCATAATAACAGTTTCAATTTTCTTTTTCATTACTTCTGTTCAGTAGTTTTGGATGAATTAATAATTAATCAATGCTTACATTTTGTCACAATTTTTATGTTCCATTTAATTAAAGCATCCTATACAATCTGTTTGTTATTTAGAATTCAATTAAGATGTGATTTTTTCAGCTGAAAAGATAAATAATATACTGTATATATATTTTAATTATATATGCTACATATACTTTTTGGTTTTTTCTCATCCTTAATGCAAATTTGATGTTTTTGTAATCCATAGTATTCTTCACTTTATAATGACCAGGTTAAAATACAATATGACTTCTGGCATATACCTCTGAATAACGGACACCTCTACATAGTAGACAAACTTCTGGTTCCCAATAGTGTCTGCTATTCATAAGTTATACTGTATACAGAATAGAGATTGATGGCCCAATTCCGACTGGATGGTAACCTTAAAGTTACCCTGTCTCCCCTAAAATGGGGACAGTTAGTACCAACCACATACAACCTCTCATTGCTCTGACATGACAGACATCAACATATGTATGAAGTGTCATGTACTCTCTGCTTTGTCAACGTGAAAGTTTCCAATAAACTAATATTTAATTGTTAATATCACAATTTAAAAAACTTTTAATCTTCAACTGAAACAAGTAATTGATTTTCTTATAAAATGTGGAATTGTTTTTAAGAATCAGAAATTATGATGAGATTTTCTCAATTCCAATTAAACATCCATCATTACTTTTGTATCAATTTCCTTTCAGCAAAATTATAGTATCATCTGTACTTTATGTAATGGCTGCCTTTTCTAAACTTCTTTCAGAACAAAGAAGTGGGGTTTACTTTCAGCCAATCACAACTACCCTTAATATAAAACATTTTTTTACAAGCCAAAAATCTTTTAACTTATTATTGAAAAACTATTAAAACTATCAATTTAATTACTTTGATTTAAGTTAAATAATATAATGATATCTATGACTGAAAGTTCAACCATTATTAGCAAAGAATACTCCTTTCACAAACTATTTCTTGCAGAAGCATGCACAAAGTTATATTGAAAGGATTATTTGCCACAAGTGTGGCCAACATTGCTTGCCTTGGATTAAATTTTATGTTTATCCCATAAAAATATGTTGTAATATTTAATTTTAAAATATTTTTATTTTTTCTAAAATTTTTTAATTTTAATTTATTTATCATCATCAAAGTACAGAATTCTCCACATTTCCAATGTTTATGTTTGTTCAAATTTTTGTAATAAGTTTATTAAAAATTCTTTTATTGAATGTATAGTACAAGCTCATTAAAAGGGTGCAAGTTTTTATAACCTGAATAGGGCCACTAAAGCAGCTGAAAATGTTTTCTTCTATTTATCTATTAAACATCAGTGCTGGAAGTAGCAAGAAGTTGTTTACATATAAAACAAGACGTGTTTACCAATGTGATTAATTGTAAAGTGTTTCATATCAACTAATATTTCTTTACAATGATTACTAACAAAAGTAATATGAGTCATTTTTAAAAGTAAAGTAAATAAGTAGAAAACAAGTGCCAACAAAGTGAATGTTACTAATTGAAATACAGTGGTACCTCAGGATACGAAATTAATCCATTCCGAAACTGAGATCATATCATGAATATATCGTAAGGTGAATCATTTTTCCCCATACAATTACATGTAAAACAAAATAATTCGTTTCAACACGAAAAAAACACTCAAATTAAAGCTAAAAGTAAAAGCTTAAGTAGTACATTAAAAAAATAATAATAATAACTATAGTAAGGAAAACACTGAAAAATGAGTTTCATAGTTGTAAATGTATAAATAACCATAATAGAATTATAATTGATTAAAAAAATGTAGTTTTGTTTGTACTTTACCTTTGAGGATAGACAACCGTGGAGGTGTAAAGTGGTGGCAGAAGAGAGGGAGAAGGGAAATGATACTAAAACTTAACTTACATAACATAATGTAACAATAACTTAAAAATAACTTAGAAAAGATAAAAAAATTGTTGTTGTTTTATATATATATTTTTTTAATTTTTATTTACTGCTTTTTGCTTTCTTTCCTTCACTTCCACCAGCACTTTCACAGGATAGAGGTTGCTTAGTAAAATATCTATCCAAAGAGGTTTGGCTTTGCCTACTTTTTAAAATGTTTTTAAAATTACTTAGGCAAATGTCAGTTCTCTGAGCAGCAATATGGCCAGTGTGAACCTTTTTGGGATGTTTCTTTACAATAAAATCAGTCACTTTCTAATAATACCTCAAGATTTTTTTATCGAGCGAGATCCTTCAACAACGAAGCAAACACGCGGACTGTGACCAATGAACAGAAGTGAATAAAAACTGGCGCTGCAAACTAATGTGGCATCGTATGGTGAGTTTTTGTTCGTATCGTGGAGCAAAAATATGTTCGAATTTCATGTCATATCCTGAATATTCCGTATGTTGGGGCATTTGTATCCTGAGGTACCACTATATTATTTTTAAGTTTTATGTATTGAATATTTACGAAACGTAATTTAAAACGAAACGAAATTAATAAAACAAGATTTACAAAAATTGCTAAATCATCAGATCTCTATTATTCAAACAATCAAGATGCCAAAAAATTAAATTAAAGAGTTGCAATTACTAATACTGATTTTTATAAAGAAAATAAACGTGATAAGTAGATTTTTTCTTTTTACATATTATTAAATTCTGTCCTTCCTTATTTGCATACAGTATCTAAAATATTTTTAAAATCTTTCATACATTATTATTATTATTCTAAATCATTAAATGGACCTTTTGGGTTCATTCTCTGTTACCTTTTGTTCTTGATGTCTTTCTTTTGGTGTTAAAACTTCGTTTATTCGCTTTTCCTCGTTCGAATCATTCGTAACAATGAATTCTTTATCTTCATCAAACGACGTAATCTTCGAAGTTTTGCCTATTCCATTACTTTTAAATTTCGACTTCACGTAAAAATCAGTCACCCTTGCCTGCGCCATCTTGAAACTGAAAACTCCCGCCAAAAGCAACGCCATCTGGACAAAACTTTTACGCATATAAATTAATCCATTTCTAATTTAATAATTAATATCATAAAAATTCTAATGAAATGTAATTAATGGGAATATATATAATGAATTTTAAATAAATATTTTACAAAAATAGTAAATTATTAAAGTGATCATTCACACGAATCGAGATAACCACGTGAACCTTTTAAATCGAGTAGAAAGATTGTAGTGTAAGGTTTTAAGCATTAACGATGATTTTTAGATGACATGACATTGTGATATATTTATAGGAACAAAAAATTTAAAGTATTAATTTGAATATAACTGAAAGAACATCATTGAAATGTCTTTTATTAAGAATTTTTCCACTTTATATACTTTGCCTCTTGTTGTTATGTATGTCATATTATTTTGTTTTACTATTTGGATTAATAAGGTAAAAGATTTTCCTCTTAAATATGATTTCATATACAGAATATAAATTAATATTCAATATTTACCTTTATTTTAGTTTATTCTTTCTGGTTTAAGCTTTACTTATCCATTGGTATTTCAAGGGTAAGTTTAACAAACATACTTTTTAATTAATTTATTAAAAATATTATTATAAATGTTTTGTTTTTATATATTTTCAGTTGGCAAACTCTTGTTGGTGCCATAGGATTTACTATTATGAATAAATATAACTTGATTAATATAAAGTTCTCAAATTTAGGATGGTAAATTGACTGTTTTAAATATGGAAATTTATATAAACAGGCCATTTTTCATGATTTTAATAATTTCAGGTCATCTATTAAATATATTGGACCTTACATGGTATGTTTTACATTTGGTTTATATACTGGATCTAAAGCATTAACAGGAATGGTAAGAATTATTTTTAAATAATTAAAATTCTCCATTTTATAATTGCTTTAATTGTTTCTAAGATTTTTCAATATGATTTTAAGATGTCAATTTAAGAAGAATTCAAAAATATTACATTATTTACCTTGATCATTTTTTTACTGTTAGAATAGTTTTGATATATTCTATTTGTTGCTATCTCATAGCATTGTTAAGAGTGAAGATACATATTTTGATTTATTTTATACAATTTTATTTTAATTGTTATGCTACTAATTAATTAAGTAATTTATTAACTACAAAATTTTAAATGTATTGAATTTTTTAAAATTAAAGTTATAGTGTTAAATTAATTATATAAAAAAATTTTTTGGTTTATAATATTTATTAATTAATATACATTGTAACTCTTCATTAACAATATTTTTAATTTTATATGTACTCATATATATATATAACAGGTGTCCAGAAAAAATTCACACAAGTTTGTGTAATGTAATTTTTATCTTAAAAAAAAGAAAACTATGAACTAATCATTTGAAAGGTGATGAAAAGCTGTAATTCTACAAGTCCCTGTTGTTGAATGCAGTTGATTTGATATCAAATAAATTCTTTTAATACTTTTTCAGCAAGTGATTTATTTAAGAAACAATTAAAAATGTTTGTTTATTTTTGTTTATATCTTAAATAAATCTCTTACTAGAAAAGTGCGAAGGTATTGATTTAATGTTATTTGTTCCAGCTTTGTTATATTTGATAGTCAATTTGACTTTGGCTTTCATTAGAATTTTCATTTTCTTACCAGATTTCTTTCTTTTCTGTGGTAGTAATCCACTCTCAAAATGTTAGAGAATGCAATATACAGTCCACTTTAAAACTTCATTAGAAAAACAGTTTATAGTAAACTTTTTTCCTAATGTTTTATTTAATGTGTAAAAGCTGATGCTTTGTGCCTAAGAATGCACATTTTTTGTTGCCATTTTGAAAGAAGAAGGAAATCAAATGCAGATAAAGATGACAGCATTCTCAATGCTTTCAAATTATAGCATGTGCAGCATAATTAAAATTATCGACTGTTAGGTAGAGCCTGAGATATTTTGTGCAGAGTTTTTCTGGATACCCATTAAAACTTCATCTTGCTAAATCATTATTTACTATAATGGCATTTAAATATGCAAAATATAGCAAAGTACTAAAATACTTAATACATAAATCTTTTAAAAGATAGCTATTTTTACATTTCCTCGTAATCTTAACTGTTTAAACAATTATTTGTATACATAATAGACATGTGCTTTTGAACAAATAATGAAAAAATGAGATTTTCAAAAATAATAATTTAACTATTGTTAAAATACAGTGAACAATTGGAACACTCTCTCTTGATATTAACATTAAACAAAAAATGTAAAAATTTGTCAGTTTATTTTAAGGACTACAGTTGAATGGAGTAACAAAAAGAAAAAAATGATATATCACTAATATAAAAAAATATATCAACAAAAATATAATAAAATATTAAATTATTTGATATTTTTTTTACCTGATTTTATTTTTGTAATTATCAATGAACCATTGAAATTACAGCTGAGTAATTTTAAAGCTATTCACATTCATGGAATTTTTAATTAAGATTCCTATATTGTTTGTTTAATTTTATTGATTATTTGAATGCATTTAAAGTAGAAGGATTTACATTTTTCAAATTGAGGAATAGAGAATTTGTTTTTTAAATTATGTTTGTATTTAAAAAATTTATGATAAACATAATTCTAGATTTTTCCATATAAAGAAGCAATGATAAATTAGTATGTTATCTGCCAGTTTGTAATGGCTTGGAATATATTTTTATGGATTATTTAATATATTACCATTTTGTTAATATCCATCATTAATTACTGATTACATCTTTTATGATTAAAAGATGCTCTTATCTGATCTGAATATATATTTTAATCAATTATTATTAATTAAATTTATTTTATGATCTTTTTTTACTCTTGCTGTAGCTTTATTAAGATATTTTAGTTGGAAATATATGATAATGTGTTTAATAGATGTGGAATAACTATATTTAATTTCAACATATTTTATTAAATTCAAAAAATTATAATCCGGGTTTAACTTTTCGAAAAAAAATTAATACTGAGAAAAGTTAGAATTTTATTCATAATTTAATTAGAATTGAAACTTACATTAACTGCTAAATAACACTTTTTATTTTATCTGGCTCTGGCTTGGAATTTTATAATAGTAATAAGCAAACAGTTTTACATTTGTAAAATATCTTTCTATATTTATTCTCTTATTTCCTGAGCAATTTTATTTATCAAAAAATAATCATTACTAACTATTAATTGTGATGATTTAAATTTAATGAGGGGTGATGACTTAAATACCTACATGTAGTTCAAATTGCTTAGTATCTTAATGCATTAATTGTTTTAAAAGTTAAATTTTAAAATATTTCAAATTTTATTTCATAAAGATATTATTATATTACCATTGTATTTTAAATATAAAATTTTTTATAAAAAGTATGAATTATATTTTGTTATTCTGTAATAATGTAATAGATACCTTTAATTTTCAAAATTATATTAAAATTATTAAAAATTAGAATATATAGAAACTTAACACACAAAATCAAATCAATAACACATTTGTATTATTACAAGAATAAAATATGCTAAGCATTGAAAATTGAAAAACATTGAAAATTCTAAAACATTATATTTTCTATAACATAACTGTTAATAATATTTCTGTTTAATATTTCATAATTATAATGAATCTTTTAGTGATATTGTTAAAAATGATATAAATAAGTTAGAATTTTGAAATTATAAATTAAAAAATTATATTTTAAAAAATGTTTTTACTTTGTTTTTACAGCATATACCAATTTTTCTTTCTTTACATAATATAGTTTTTTTATTTCAACATGTTGCTGATCTTTGGGCAAGGCGTTTGGTAATTATGAATTTTTAAAATAAATTCATACTACATAAAATTATTTTCATTTATAATACTCTATTAAGATACTGCTTAAAAATCTAATTACATTTTCATTTTTAGGAATGTGAGAAAAGTTCAAATGTTATTTCAATAATAATACCTTTGACAATAATAGCATTGAGTACCACTATGGTACTTTCTACATCATTAAAGGTAACTGAAATTTATAGTTGTAATCTTGTAGATATTAATTATGTATAATTGAAAATGATATCTACTATCTATATATATAGTAGTTATGTTGTTAATTCCATGTAAACAGATCTTAGGATAGAGAATATGTTGTATATGTGTTTGGCTAATAAATATGCAATGTATCATGATATATAACAACATCACAAAAAAAATAAGTGGAAATGATTATAATAATAATTGTTTGAAAATAAAAAGTATAGCTAAATCAATGTGATAATTATATCTTTTTATTTCCAAACACAAATTATTAGCCATTTTCATTTATTATTCTTGGATATTAATGGGAACTTGTGTTGATATTTACAGATATTATAAGTTTTTTTTAAATTACAAAGTGTGTAGAATTAAGTGCAGAAAATAGTTGTTTTGCTAATAATTTAATTAAGAAAAAATTTAAAATTATAATCTGTTAAAGAAAAACCTGATTTTTGTTTTGATAAGCTTGACATCAATCTAAAAGACATAGATTTTCTAATAATTTCAACAAATAAAACATTACGTTTTTAAATTGAAAATATGTAGTTTATTTATATCATTGATTAAATGTTTAAACGTCCTCCAAAAATCAGTTTTATAGAAAATGAACTTATTTTATTTTTTCTAACAGATTGTATTTTAATTTCTTTGCAGTTGAATTGTTGATTTAATTGATGTTTACAATCAGTTTCATATATTTTTAATTTTAGAAAGAAAGTTGTGATATCCATAGATATAAAATCAGAATGACTTTTCTGTATTTTTCATTTTCAAACAAAAGATTTTGAAATTATTTATATAATACAGTAATGCAAAAAATTAAAATAAAATCACTTAGATTGTTAGTTTTGTAATAAATATAAAGGAATTTTAAATTATAATTGAAAAATACTTACAATGAACTTGATTAGTAGCTGGATCATCTTTTTATTTGCTAGAAGCAGCTAGATATTTAATTAATCTTTTCAATATACATTTTACTAATTGCATTTTCTATCTTAATTTTTTTTTCTCATTTATTACATGTTTTTATTTTCTAGCTTATAGACAAAATTTTATATTATACTATTCTGTATGCACTATAATTGATAGTCAATTTATGTATGCATGTCTTGTTACAGGAATTTAGAGGAGCTCTCTTTTGGATGATACTGCATCTTATATCATCAGGTGAGATCTTGTGATATGTTTTTACTATGACAATAATTTTTGATTTATTTAAAGGAAAATAATAAATCTCAAAATTTATAGTCAGAATGATTTATCTCTGATGGAAGCCATCTGACTTTTTTCTCTAATTCTAAATTATCTTCAATTTCAATTTACAGAATGTAAAATATACAATTTTATAGTCTACATTCTGTAAATTGTAGAATATTTAATTTATATATATATATATATAATATATATCTATTGCAGCTTTGGGAGAAAAGCAATAAATTTAATTGAATATTCTATTAACATATTATAATAAAAGATCTTTATAGAAGGTGTTTAATTTATTGCATAAAAAAATCTTAGAAGGAATTTTATGTTCAATAAAAGTTGTTTTCTGTATTTTAGGAGTTTTAGTATTTTTGGATCAATTAGATAAATCTTATTCTGAAGAAAAGTGAGTAACTTTAATTTTAAAATATAAATTAATCATTTTATTCATTATGATTTAAATCAATAAACTTTTAAATTGATATTCACCAATTTTTTTATTAGCTTAGTATTTTGTGTTGTCCTTAAAATTAGTTGATGGTACTGTTTAAATAAATACAATGCATTAAAAAAATTTAAATAGTTTAGATAATGTATTTTGTATTTTTAAATTAATGTTATTGTATCTCTTATTTTTTTCTATTGTTGTCTAATTAGCTACAGTACTAATTTTAAATATTTCATTCACTAATTAATAATTTTATAGTTTTATATAAGAAATTATGCTAATAAACTTTAGTTAAGAAATTAATACATAAAAAAATATATTTAATTATGTAACTTGTCACATATGTTATGATCAAATAGGTTTTAATAGCATTTTTTGGAAAGTGTACCAGGGGTCACCAAACTACAGCCCGTGGGCCAGATCTGGCTTGCGAGGTCAGTTCATCCAGCCTGTTTGCTGCACTATGCCACAAATGAGCTAAAATTCAATTATTTATATGGAAATATCATAGATTATAGATGAACTTATAGTGTAAAAAAACCTAAAATAAGTGTAAGTAAAAATGTCAAAATTGGTCCAATCTGATTTTTGTATTAGACAGTAATAAAATTTTTAGGAAAATCAGTGAAATAAAAAATTCAGTGACATTTTGTGACTTTAGATATCAGAGCACTTTTTGTATAAGTACAGTAAGATCCCATTTAACATGGGGGGATGCATTCCTAAACAACAAAGCGCTAAGCGAAACAGTGTTAAATGAGGTCATTTTAACATAGGGATAGGGATAGGGGAACACGCGACCAAAAATAAACAAATTTTACTTTAATTTCAAGTTATTTTTATATTAACTTGTATAATAATATATGTTAAATAACACACAAACATATGCACACAGAAATGTAAAGTTCATTTTTTGTGATGAAGGTCCTGGCTTTTCTGAAATTCTTGTTCTTTTGTGATAAAATTGTGAAGTTTCATTTGTTGCTTTTTTCTTTCCTTAAGCAAATGTTGGTAGCAGACGATCGCATCCAAAATGCCCCATTTTGCTTTTGCACTCCTTTCAAAATCTGGATCATTTGCTACAGTTTGATCAACAATTTCAGTTATCTTACCAAACTTTTACTAAGGAAATCTGTAGAGAAATTTTTTGGGTTCTTCATTTTCAGAATCACTGTTTTTCAGTTCTACATGGGTTTCTTATTCTGCCAGTTCTTGAAGTCATTGGTAAGGTTCTCACCAGAAAACCTGCGGTAACTCTTCAATATTCTGTTCATCTACATCTCCTAGTCCTGCTATATCGATTAGGTTAAGTTTGATCAACCTAACAATACAGCGATAGGCTCTTCTTGTTGAGAATTCTTGGATAGCTTCAGCCATAACTTCTTCCACACTTCGTTCGTGCATTTATCAGTTAATTCTTGCCAAGCAAAGCCAATATTTCCTATGGCATCCATGATTTTATATTTTTTCCAAAATTGCACCAAACAAACATAGAGTTAAAGAAAGTACACCTGTTTTGTCACCTTTTGCTAATTGGTTTGTGTTTGCAAGTAATCATATTATATACGAATCAATGAAATGCCACAATAATTTAAATCAGCATAAATTTTGAGTTTTTTGTAGGCTTTGAGCAGACCACGTTATATCGAATCAGCATTAAGCGGGGTCTTACTGTACCTGCAATGAAATTTTTAAGGAAAGCGATTGCGAGTTTGCTGCAGGCATTATTTTATTTTTTTTTTTAGTATGTTGTATTGAACAAAATGGTTATATAGCCCACATTCGTCATTCCCTGTTATCTGGCCCTCTGTAAAAAAATTTGGTGACTTCTGAACTCTACTATGCTGAAAATGTGATTTTAATTTGCATTCTGACAAAAAAAAGCCATTAACAAATCTTGTTAAATTAGTTCAATCAACATTCAATGAAATGACATACCCAATAGTATCATATAAAAATTGACATATG